GCAGCCCACTAAGTGCAGACGGTGAGTCAGTTAGCTTGGTGATGCGTCGGCTGTACGACAGTGATTTACGGGGCATGCAAAGGTTGGCATTGCAATCAAGGCTGCAATTAGTAGTCAGACCACCCTAAAGTTGGCCTGTCTGGTCTCGCTGTGAGACATTGCCATCTTCAGGCCTCAATGTGAGAGAAATTGTTTATAGTCTGCATAAATAAACCCTCATTAATGTAACGAATGCCTTGAAGGTAACGCATTGATGTTGTTTTAGTTGATACCGAAGCTACGCGGTCCACTCAGTGTCCGTAGATTGCGGTGGCCATCTTACTGTATTCACATCTACCTACCCTCCCAATAAAACTTATTGTGCCTTCAAAGATAACTTGGGGCGCTGCAGCTTGTTCTTATTTGTATCCAAGGGAGCCATTGAAATGGGATTCAGAGCACAGGCAGATTCAAAGCCAACTATCAGATTTTTTGTTACCTCCAATCACTTCTTCCTGGCCATTAGCTTCAGTCAGACAAATAATGAGGAAGGCAAGCCAGAACGTCCATTTTTATGCTATCAAAAGCACTTACGGAAGAAATTTCTCCTCACTCTAATGCAATTGGGCCCTCATTGGGTATCTCGATCCTTTGCTTGATTTATGCAGATGTCGTCTAGCCAGCTGCCGTCCACAACTTATCCCATGGAGGTAGTAGCACAGCAGGTTAAAACTTCCATGCATGAAACAAATAGAATAAAAATGAATGCCAGCACTTATTTCTGACCAATTGGTCATACCTCCGTCATGCACATTAGCCCTTGACTCGGTATCTGGGATGGCTCTGCAAGAGTAGCGCTTGTTCATCAATCATTGCCTCTAGCTCATACTCCATTGGTTAAAGAAGGCAGCGGAGGGGGGTGGATGAGTCACAGCCTGGGCAGGTGTGAGTCACAGCCCTCGTCCGAGCCGCCTTTGCTCTAGCGCAAATGTACGCACAGCCCAAATTCCATCCCCATGGGGAACTGGGCGACTAATTGGCTGAGAAGTAGGTTAAAAAAGGAGGCTAGGACAAAAACGAGCTGCCCGTGCTCTTCAACCTCGGAAAGAGAGGTGGGGATGCGAGGTTTGTGATTGTCCCAGAGTCTGTGGCGTGTAACAGCTTCCCATCCAGTCAACCTGATGAGTGCACAAACTACTAACAGGTCTTTTGAAATGATTCTACCTTTTGTATAAAATTAGTCACCTTGCATTGTTTGTATTTGTATTATAAGGCCTATTTTAAAGGCGAAAACACAAAAAAGCACTCTTTAGTTAGAACCAATTCATTTCTGAAGACAAGAGTAGGCACTAAAATCTGTTGGTTTAATTAATGCAGCCATCGGACCAACTCTAAAACACCCAAACCCCTAGCTCACTGTTTTGTAGCCGTTCCATGTCAAGGTCACGCAGGGGTGATATCATCAGGAGGGGCGGGAGCCCCTTCCCTTCGTAACTATTAAAGGCCGATCTTAATGAAAGCCACCTGCAGTTTTGAAACAGAGCAACACTGATTTTAAACACTACTTGCATTCATCTGGTTATTTCAAATGATGTTTTGTAGGTCGTAAGTATAAGTACCGCGTCAATGGAGGGACAGTAGGCTGGAGGCCTTCTTTGGCTTGCTTTGGACGGTCTCTCAACCTCCATAAATGAATGACAACTTAATCGAACCAAGCGGTAAAGTATTTGTTAATTCTAAGGAAAAAGGTGATTCAGTCAGGAGCATGTCTTCGAGGAACTACTTTTTGGTAGATGTGACGTCACTGTTGGGCAAATTTTCTCACAGAAATGCTGCTGCCTTCCCCAACATACTTGACATATAACATCGTCTAACCCTTAGTCATCCCTCTAAACATTTATTCCTTTTTTTATTATCAAAGTAATAACGCTATTTTCCCCCATTTTCAAGCTCAACCTCGCGAGCCCTTTTATACTGTTGTGATGTTTAAACACCTGAAATTAGCTGCTAGGCTGATTCGATTGTGACCTGAGGGTTGGGAACTAACACGCCTCCAGATGCGGGTTCTAGGTCCTATCAACCAGTTCAGCCTCCACATTAGTGGCAGGTTGTTACTGGGACGATTTATCTCGTAGGCTGATAGCTAATGCAGGGCCATGGCAACACCGCTGACCCTATTGTTGGTTAAAGACACTATTAGCAAGTTATCAAGAAGAAGTGCAACTCAGGGAAGTTGTATCATCTGGATGACCAAATCTGTGGAGACTTACCGAGGAATGATCATGGGTGCTTTGCCCTAAATTTGGGTTCGGCACGATGCCTGCTTAGGAAGCGGTGTCAGGTTTCAACGGCTTGGCCTCTACCTCGGCCACTTTCTCATACTTCTTTTGGTCAGATATCACAATGGAGTAGCAGCTGGTATTCCACGAAGACTGAAATGTTCATTCTCAAGTGGCAGATGGGTACTTTAAGCTTTCACTAAGGCTGTGGAGACGACTGTGAGGTGTCTTTGGGGGTAACCCAAGTGTTAGACACCAGCGCATACCAAATGGCCAATTTTGGTATGCGATCCGGTCCGACCTCTACCTGTCAAGCAAGCTGTAAGGCCAGGAGGTGGGTGAGAGAGCTCTATCTGCTGCCATCCGTCGGGGTGATCTTCGCATCGCAAAGGACACCTCCAGGCTAACTGACTGAGGGAAAGTAAATTGTCGGACGTCGATAACCAAAATTCGGTCCAAAATAAGGATAATGCCAGTGTTCCACGGATGATAACCGGGTTAGACGAAGTAACACTCAAAGAAAAAAAGGGAAAAGGGAAAAAGTTGGGGGATAAGAATGGAATTAATAAAGCCATCAAAAATGTATTTTCCTTTTAGTTCATAGGAAAGGAAAAGGAAGGAAAGAAAGTTCAACGGTCACAGGATTTTTTAGAGATCAAAGCACTTTAAGGAGGCTACATCGAGTAGAATCGCAGTATCAAAGGTTTATACATCAGATTTTTTTGCAAAAAACATGTTTTACTAGTTTAATAGATACAGAAAAGCGTGTCCAGGAGCAAGTTTTGGACGCAACGAACTCTTTGACTGTGATGTCAAGTCAGGCGACAGTTCGAATCAATGCATTGCTGTAACTGTTGCTAAAGGGACTTGTCAAATGCATGTGATCATTTTTGTGCATGCATTACCGACCACAGATATGCATCGGTTTGAAGCTGCGGCATTATCTATTGTGCTCTCTGGTACCTGTGATTTGGAATTGGCAACCTTTGGTAATGGAATGCAGCTGGGTTCCACAGATGGTAGTGCTTTGCGTCAAATTCAATGCGAAGCATTTGAAGAAGGCGCAATAGCAAATCAGCTTGCTACCCAGAAATGCCATTCTACTGGCCGCTTCCTCGATGCTGCATCACCTGCTGCAAGACCCTCTATAATTCCCTGGTGATGAGGAAATGCGCCTTGTCACTGACGCAGTCATTCAACGGAAGTGTTGAGCACCTGAAGTAAGGCTGAACTCCAATAATCAAATGGTGCATTGGGACCTAATCAACTGGAAGGGAAAAGTTGAGTTGTTCCATTTTTGAGTGGATGTTAGTGCAAAGTGAACTAGAGATGTAGATGTTCAAAAGAAAGTGTTAAGTTGTTAAAGGGAAGACAATCACAACTTGGAGGTATATATCCTAAACATTATACATTGCATAGAACTGGACTATGAAGCGATCCACCAACTTGAAGTTACGCACGGAGACCTGTTCTTGAGGTCACTCAGAGGAGGGGTGTTCTGGACTATCAAAACCTTACAAAGCCAAGCAAGGTAAAGAAAAACGTCATGGTCTATTTCTAATACATAAAACCTATTCAACACCACTAGCGGGAAGATGTACGCCGTAGGATAAGAGGGGAGGAAGGAGGGAAGGCGGGTAAAGGGAGGGTGGAAGAAAAGGGGACAAATACTACCTCATTCACATTGTCTTCTTCATCCTTCATGTTTACTTGATTATATCCCTTTCAGGTTCAAA